ACTGAATGACACTACTCCAACTTGGACGTCGTTGACCACCAGAGGGCCTCCGGAGTCACCTTGACAGAACCCTTTGTTGCCGACGCCAGAAAGACATAAGTGGACGTCGGTAATGATACCGTTGTATGAAGGATTTTGAGCTTTACATTCGTCATTGCTGAATATCGGGTTTGACACGTATTGAAGGATGTCAGTGACGGTTGTCTGGTCGTCGTAGGTTTTTCCCCAGCCTAACACCGTTCCTGTAAAGAAATTTAGTGTTTTATTTTTTATTTTTCAACTTTATGGTTTTATTTCTTACTGAATTAATACCGGATGCATCTCAAAAGTGGCTCACCCCTATAAATTTTTTATTTTTTCAGATAAAATAACGAGACTTGGCACGTTAGTATATGACATAAATCAGGACTGATTGACGTATTCAACTGTTTTTGGTCACTTCCTGTTTCACCGGAAATGACTACAACTTTTGATTTTGAAATGGCACCCTCGGTATTTTTTTTAATTTATTCGATAGAAAATGACATTCTGAATAGAATGGCATATCATATGTCAACTTTTGACATTCTCGCTTAATAAAAAATTGCATTTTAAATTTCAATCTAGAGTGCCATGGCTATGTTAAAAACACTAATTCTTAGTCAAGGAGCCTTGGAAAAATAGATTGGATTGTCTGACGTTTTTAGTGTCTTGTCCTGGCCAGTTAGAAAATGCTCAAATCATATTTTTAATCTTATCTCAATTTTTTCAAATGAAACGAGGGTGGCTCATTAGCATATTTGGAAAAAGTGTTTTTTATCCAAAATGCCCGTCCCGTTTTTTCTAGAGGGTGTTTTGAATTTATTGCAAAAAACGAAGTTTTGATTTACCCCGGTATAAACCCATCTAACCGAAATCCTTCCGAAATATATAAGCCATTAAAATAATAAAAAAATAATGCCAACAAATTTATCTACAAACTAATATAATAATCATAAAAATCGAATTAAAAATTCAAAAGTTATGAAACATCAAACTTAGTCAAAATTTTAGGGTGGCGGAATATATAAATAACTATTATTGTACCTTGTTGACCTGCATAACTATCTGATCCACTGGCAAGTGTGATTGTTTGGACATAGTCGTTTATTTGAGCGGGTGTATTTAATTTGACCAAACCTATATCGCTTGTGTACGTAGTAGAGTCCCAATCTGGGTGGATTACATAAGCGCTCGTCACCTGTCTCTGCCTATTTGACTCTGAATCGTCAGAAATGTTTTGAGCTCCTAGAATCACGTCCAATGAGATTGCACTGAAACGTTTAATATAAAAATAAATTCGTAATATTTAGTGATAAGCAAAGCAGCAAGATCAACACCAAGATTCCCTTGGTGTTGGTCTTGGTCTTTCGTTTCGCTGCAAGATTCTTGCAAGTCTTGCACTTTTTTTACATAGAAATTATTTAAATAAATAGTATTTTAGTAATTTAATAGAAATAGAAGTTTAAGGAAAACTTTATTTCGAAATCGTAGACAGACTTTGCATTGCACATAATTTTTTTTCTACAAATAAGCACGAGATTCTATTGTAGATATTTTGACAAATCGTTTAATCACACTTTGTAACTACCCAACGATTTAAAATACTTCAAATATTAGTCCTATATTATTTACGATACAAGTGAGTTAACAGCATCATTAAGATACGCGTGTGAAAGTTGCACAATGAGTGCGTAGCACGAGTTGTGTAACCACATAAATATCTTAATGGAGTTAACTCACGTAGGTATATTGTACAATATTTTATCTAATTCTAACTATAAAAACACACAATGAATTTTAAAAATTATTGTACTTAACTATATACCTATCCTAAAAAAATCAATTACCTTAATATCTTTGTTCAAATAACACCATGCATGGCAATGTCAATATGACAGTAAATAATATTGATGTCACTAGTTTAAAAAATGAGCGATTCGGAAAGTATTCCCTCTGACATTGAAGAAGAGGCATTCAGAGCCATTTCTGGATTGCTTCATAGATAAATGAAACAAGTTTAGATTGGAAAGTGCCCATAAGGAAAATGTAAACACTATTTGGCGCTATTCTTGCAACGGTCGCGACCCAAAACTTTTGAAAATTTCGGAGCGGTTCGGCTTTTTCCGGAATTATATCGCCAAATATTGTTTATTCAAATTTATTATTATTTTCTTTAATTTTATAAATAAAAGACAGTGTGTTGCATACAAGAAACTTTATTTTATATAAGGACGCATGTATGAAATACCTATGAAACATTGGAAACCGACGTTATGCCACGATCCACGATGGTTTTTGCAGTTCACAGTTCACAGCACAGATTTTTAAGTTTTTAATGCCACTTTTCCACAATTATCACCGGTTGGAGTAAATAAAACTTGAATTAAACTCACAAGATAGCAATTATTACTTTGAAAATGGACGCTATAAACACTTTTCGGAGTTTCTTTAATGAGAGCGGTTTAGATTTTGAAAGATTATTATGATTTTTGAAGATTCTGACTTTGACAAGAGAAAATTATTTCTGTTTTTGTTTGTCGTTGTTCTTAGCGACCGCCTCTGGCGACCGCTATAGCAGCGCCAAATCGCGTATAACGGTCGCGACCCAAAATAATTTCGCGACCCAAAATTTTTACGGGCTTTCCAATCTAAACTTGTTGCATTTATCTATGGATTGCTTCCAGCAAGATCGAAACAGAAGTATGAATATACATACTCTAAAAAATGGTGCACAATGGTGGAAAAAAAGGACACAACTATGGAAATGAAAAGGTACTATATTTTTCCAATTTAGTGCAAAATAAATATTTACAAAATATTTTTTTCTCTTTGGTAGTCATCTAAACAAGGAGTGCGATAATGAAAATGCGTGAGTTAAGAAGCTCTTAACTCACTCAAAATGCGTGAGTTAAGAGCTTCTTAACTCACTGACGTAGATAAATTATATTTGTAAGAGATGTGTTATGATTAGGTACTTTTAAAAAAAATAAGTCCTCATTTTATCGTATAAAATATTTCTAAGAAATAATCTATTAAAATGTTATCTTTTAATGAACTTATGTGAATAAATAAATAAGTACGTTATAGAAATAAAAAGAACTATAGTTTATCTATCGAGAGAAGTTTTTAAACAGCGATAGTTGTGGAGTTTTATGCGGTTTCTCGTTTATGAGTAGAGATACAAAGATGGTGGTTTTCACATCACTGTCCTACTTTTTATGAAATTAAAGATTCAAGCAAGAGAGCGTTCATTAAAAATATATTGTAGGGTTATTACATTCTTAATCTAAGGTTATTACACAACGTGTACGGTACAATATATTAGAATGTTCAGTCATCGTTCACCGTCACGTCATATATTGTCGAACTCTCTCAGTCACTTGACAACCAGATGAAAGAGATTGGTGACGTCATTACGACATTTCGTACATTACTGACGGACATCGATAAATGTCAAAATTAAAATTTTATTGTTGCTGTCAATGACTAAAGAATATAAGGGCAAATAACACATGGGAGCAAATTGTTACCTTTCTTCCAAACAGTGCCATGGCACATCTTTTCCTTAACATAGCCGCTTGAAGCTTTGCTTGAAGCGATATTTTTTTTTTTTTGATAAATGTTTTTACTACGCCTATGGTGTATCCGGTGGTATCATACTAATTAATTACGAATAAAATGTATTAAAATGTTAACAAAAGGTACAAAACTAGTATCGACGTATAGCACATATCAAGTACATATAATATCAGAGAAATAATTATCAAATTCAATAAAAAAAACCGCTAAAAAGGTGGAGTGAATTGTTTATTTCCCTATAAAACGTAACTCTTGGCTGTTTCTTATCTTGTGCCTTTTACACTTGAAAGCTGAACAAATTACCATTGTAATAGAGTTTATACAAAGTTCACTAACACAACCAACTATTAAAAATCGCTAAAATTGTCGCTGATGACTCATTCGTTATGTCCAAAGAAATGGCGTCTAAGGTCACAAATTCTGCTGCAGCCCGTATACGGGCGTTGCATGTCCTTGTATTCTTTAGTCATTGGTTGCTGTAAAACAAAATTCAAATTTTTTTTATTGCAAAAATACCTCAAAGATTTATCCAAAATGCACAACAATTCATTGCTAAGCTTAGAAATTATTTTTCTCGAGAAATAGATGCTGGCGCTGGTAGAACACTCTTGCCCGTGGACGCCGTCTATGAAGCAAGTGCAATGCAAAGGTGTAATATTCCCATGTAAAATACAAATTGATAGCATTTTTAAATAATATAGCGAGTTGCTGATGCTTTAAAACTAGGAATTTCAACAGTACAAAGGATTGAAATTAAAGGGTTCGTAACTGATAAAGAGTTCAAGAAAAAAATTAAAATAAATGCCGAAAAAAACGGAACTAGCTAAATTTTTAATATAGGAAGGTGCTTAATTTTTTTAAAACTCAAATTTGACAAATAATGGTGACGTAACGATGAACAATGGCTGAACAGTCTCTATATTGCACTTATGAGTTGATTGGTGGGCAGCTTTTAATATGACTTCAACTTTTATTCTATATTCTTATATCGGTATACATATAATGGTAAATTTTTAGGAGACAAACAAAAAATGAATACATACCCTTCTAAGCAATGCGCTGCTGTTAAAACATAGTTCGACGATATGAGGGAACCTCCACAGAAAGCGTTCTTTAGCTGGTAGTCTATGTAAAGACCCACTTCAAAAGGAAATTGGTGTGGAGTAGCATCTTGTCCACCAACTATTCTCAAAGAGCTAGATGAATCTCTTTTGTTTTGATAGAAGAAATCTCTTTTTAGAATATTTACATCATCCTAAAAGAGTACTTTGCTAATATATATAAATTACTATACGGGGTGTTCCCTAAGTAGTCTAAAAAATCAGGTGTAAAATGTAGAATGTTATGAGAGTTATCACTGCGACCTTACAGATCTATTGTGTGTCCCCATTCTTGAGTTATGTATAACTCATCATATCGTCTCAGGGCTTTGACAAAACCCAGTATCTGAGACGTTTTTACGGAGGTTAGTTCTCCACCTCCGATATCAGTCGTACCAAAGTTCATGGTACGAATGGTTGTCGTCTCGGCGCGCTCAGTGTGAGGTGTTCTGGTGCTTCCCCATTTTCCTTACAGAATCCGCAATTTTTCTTAGCTTCAAGCTACTAAGGTATTTATGGAGGAGACAGCGTCTTGTTAAAAACCCCGTGACAATCCGAAGATTGTTCATGGGTGTGATTCCTCATATGTTTTTAAGAAAAAGAAGTTCATTTTAACATGGGTCTAAAGGACTTCCGGTCCTACGGGGTGTTTTGATTTGAAAATCGAATTTCTTGCCAATATATCTTAAAATATTTCAACTATTTCCTTCAATTTTGGTATGTAATTTCCTGGTATAAAAGGAGTTTATTTCCGTTAACACTGTTGTTTTCTTACTTGAACCAGTGGTGTCCGTACGCACACACCCCTGGATTATTTGAATAAAATAAAATTACGCCACTGCTATTTTCGAGAAAACATTTTTTTCTCTTGATTATCTCTTTTTTAACAAGATTTATTCTTTAAGTTTCTCTTCAAATAAACTTTTAGTTACGTGATTAAGCTTTACCGGCACAGCGTTGCCCACTTTTAAATATTTTCTTTTAATCAAAATATTTTAGGAAAAAAAAAATTAATTATAAATGTATAAACCTGGTATAAACAATTATTATTTACGTCAACAAAACTCACCTTCTTCACAGCACTTAAGGGACATAAAGGGCTACTACTACCGCTTTCCCGTTCAAAATATTCTAATAAGGTTGCGCTGAGTTTTTTGCAATGGCTATTAAGCTATTTTGTACACTTTGTACTAAAAGAGGTCCTAAAAAGAACAATGTTCGAATAAAAAATTGTAAGCTTTTTTTATTTAAGCCAAAAACTCATAATACCAAACTAATGTATCAAAACTAATGACAATAAATAAATAAGTGTGGCAACTTGACATTTTTTACAGCAGAGCTACTACCTGAATCCCCACTGTGAAATTTATATTCCAGTTAGTCAGCCCTGCGCCGAATATGTCCATGGTTTGATGGTAACAAAAAGTTTAATTGGTATCAAATATACATTGCATAATATCTTGAAATTGCTAGAAAATAGGCAAGAATATCGAGGCTGGCTTTCATTTTTTATTTTTTTTTCTCGAAAACACTCGTTCAGTGTACAAGAAAAGTCCCAGAGAATAATTTTGTTAAAAAAGTATTGACAATCAAGACAAAGAAATGTTTTCTCGAAAAAAACGCAGTGGCGTACCATTTATTTTAAACCGATAATTATATATATTTTTTTTATTTTTAACACCCGAGAACTCCTCTAACCATTCTGCTTCCAGACTGGACCAGAACCATTCTGCTTCCCTAGTGCAAACTAACTTAAAGCGGAACTCGAGAACCTGGAAGACTCCATCCGTAACCTGGAATGGGAATAATCAGATGATCTAAAGACTCTCGAAGAAATTTCTCAAGACATACGAAAATAAAAAAAAACCCAACATTTAAGAAAGAATAATTTTCGGACTGTCACGAGGTTTTTAACAGTCTTTCCAAGTACTAGTAGATTAAACTAAGAAACAACAACGAAAGCAGATTCTGTGAGGAAAATGGGGAAACACCAGAACACCTCATCACTGAGTGCGTCGAGACGACAATCCTTCGCGTCATAAGCTTTGATGCGACTGATATCGGAGACGGAAAACTAACCTCTGTAAAACCGTCAGAGATACTGGCTTTTGTCAAAGTCCTGAAACTGTATGATGAGTTAGCCTACTTAAGAAACAGTCTGTATAATTATTTGTAAAAAACGCGAATTTCTAGACAAAATATTAAACTAAAGTATTTTTTCATAAATATAGATAGAATAAGGAAGTACCTGTGAAAATATTGGTTGAAATATTCCAACTAATAATAACAAATATTTAACTCCCATATTGCAAAAATTCCTCAAAACTATTGCAAATCTACTCTACTTATAGCACTAAATACACTAATACAATTCTAATTTCACAATTTTACTCAAATAAAA